AAGACAGCAATGTGTTCCAATTTTCAAAAAGGGGCAGACAGGAGCACAAACACAGACCAGTGCACTGACTTTTAAATAGTAAATTTATGGAAAAATTATCAGGAGAAATAGTGGAAGACATTGAAAAGATTGGGCTCATACAGACAGTCAGCACGGCTTTAGAGATGGGAAATCCCGTTCACAAATTTACTTGAGTTTTTACAATAAGGTAACAAAAGTAAGACAAAACGGAGAGGGATGGGTAGATTGCATCTTTTTAGATTGCAAGAAGGCTTTTGACACAGTACCACACAAGAGACTGGTGCAAAAATTAGAGGAGCAGGCAGGAATAATGGGGAAAGTACTGCAATGGATTAGGGAATACCTGACAGGAAGGAAACAACGTGTGTTGGTACGTGCTAAAGTGTCGGAGGGGGGCGAATGTGTCGAGTGGGGTTTCACAAGGTTCAGTCCTAGGCCCAGTGCTGTTTCTTGTATACGTGAATGACATGGTGGAAGGAATAGATTCTGAAGTGTCACTGTTCGCTGATGATGTGAAACTGATGAGGAGAATACAAGTGGGCTAGGATCAGTTAAGATTACAAGGGGATCTGAACAAACTACAAGTATGGTCCGACAAATGGCTCCTGGAGTTTAACCCCAGTAAGTGTAAGGTCATGAAGATTGGGGAAGGACACAGAAGACCGCAGATGGAGTAAAGGTTAGGAAACCAACAGCTGCAAACGTCAGTTAAAGAAAAGGATTTTTGGGGGGTAAGCATTAAAAACGAAACATGTCCCCTGAGGTACACATCAATCAAATAACTGCTGCAGCATATGGGAGATTGGCAAACCTGAGATTGGCATTTAGACATCTGAGTAAGGAGTCATTCACGACATTGTACACTGTGTACGTAAGGCCTACACTAGAATATGCAGCGCCAGTATGGAACCCTCACTTAGTCAAACGTCACGAAATTGGAGAAAGTGCAAAAATTTGCAACACGATTAGTCCCGAGAACTGAGCGGTATGTCTTATGAGGAGAGGTTAAGGGAACTCAACCTGATGACACTAGAGGATAGGAGGGATAGAGGGGACATGATAACAACGTATAAAATACTAAGAGGCATTGACAAGGTAGACAAGGATCGAATGTTTCAGAGATGGGATACAGAAACAAGGGGACACAATTGGAAACTGAAAACCCAGATGAGTCATAGGGATGTTAGGAAGTTTTTTTTTTTAGTCTTAGAGTTGTCAGGAACTGGAATAATCTGGAGAGTGAAGTAGTGGAAGCAAGTTCCAAAAATAGTTTTAAAGAAGAGGTATGCCCAAATATCATGGCGCAGGGAGAGAGTGAAATTATTCGACCATTTGAAGAGAGGGGGCTAGGAGCTATGACTCGACCCCTGCAACCACATATAGGTGAGTACATATAGGTGAGTACATCCAAAAACATTGGGCTAGCCCTTAATTATTCTGGAGACAAACATACCCCAGACTCCTTTCACTTAGGAAAACCATTAATTTACGAAAACCTCTTAAAATCATCACTCATTGTCAATTTTCTACTCATACATCTTCAATTTCATTACCTTTCCTTCAGGAACTCACAATACCATAGAATAAAATTTGAAGACTTTCAAAATTACTTTTTTTGGATATCTTCAAATTACTTTTTAGACTTTTTCAAAAAAACTTTTCTGGATACTTTCAAAAAACGTTTGGATACTTTAAAAAAAAATTTTTTTGGATACTTTCAAAAAGCTTTTTGGGTACTTTGAAATTAATTTTTGGATACTCTCAAATTACTTTTAGGATACTTTCCAAAAAAATTTTGGATACTTTCAAAATACCTTTTTTGGTACTTTTTAAAACTTTTGGAAAATTTTCAGAAAATTTTTTTTCCGATACTTTAAAAAAAACTTTTGGAATACTTTCAAAAACTTTTTGGATACTTTCTAAATACATTTTGGATACTTTCAAAAAAAATTTGGATACTTTCAAATTACTTTTTGGATACTTTAAATGTAATGATTAAAAACAGATGATGTGACAACGAAAATTGTCTTTGTAAGACTGATGCTACACCTCAAAAAAACTGCGTTGTTTTTTTCCTCATCTTCTGGTGATTGTGTCCACTACAAATTGCCGTAATGAGGGACTTGAGTTCCTGAGGCTTGAATGTGAACATTAAGCCTAGCTTGGGCAAAGACTTTGAACTCTGGAGGGCTGAGCGTGAAGCCCATCTTGCCGTCCGTTTGGTGACAGGAATAGCGGGGTCCAGACTGAAGGTGAAGTGTTGCATGAGAGAAGAGAACAGCAAAAACTTTTGTCATCCTGGCCAGAGATTCTCCTAAACAGGATCGTCGACCTGGGAAAACACTGGTAGGTATTAGGATGCAAATTTGTGAGAGAGATATACAACAAGAATAACAACATAGCCAGAAATATTTACGACTCATTTGGTGACCTTTTTTTTAACCAAGAAGTTTTGCAGTCTTCCTGCCCTCGTGAGCTACGATCACCAGTGCACAAATTTTCTTATTGTTTACCTAATCTTAGTATTTATCGAAGCTTCATACTTGAAAAGTTTTTGGCCAATATGAAAATATAATATACTGGACATTTGTTTCCAGCACAATACAGAAAGAAAACATGCAACATTTTTTAGCACAAACATAATTATAGCTAAAAGGTTACATTTACAACCCGCAAGTTTTATATTTGCAAAGGGGAACGTATAATTTTGGAACAAATGTTTAATAAAAGCAACAGAAACGTAACGTTAGCAAAACGAAAAGATATTTTTTTCATTACAAGAATCACCTTTGCCGAAGGGAAATGACACGCTCGTCCTTACGAAATGAACCATCATGGTTGATGAAACGCTCTGGGGGGAAGGTTTCCGGGTCACCCCAGTAACCTGGGTCATATGAACGCTGTACAAGTTGTTCAACACTACCGTCCCGGCTTGGAAACCTGAAGCCCTGTGAATAATCACAGTGATTCAATGTGTACTTGCATTAAGATTTATTGTATACTGGTAGAGCATTTTCCCCTGAAATCTCAGTGATGTCTTACTAGTTAAAGATTACTGTAGGGGAGAGTAATGTCACTGTGGAGACAGTATGGCATATGGAGACAGTGAGGTCAATGTGGAGGTAGAGTGAGGTCACTGTGAAAACCCGTAAACTCACTGTGAAGGCATAGTGAGGTCCACAGTGGAGAGTGAGGTCACTGTAGAGACAGTGAGGTAATTTGTGGAGACAATAAGGTAAGTGGGGAACAGTGAGGTCACTGTAAAGACAGTGAGGTCACTACGGAGACAGTGACCTCACTGAAGAGGCAGTGAGGGTACTGAGGAGACAGTGAGGTCACTGGGGAAGCAGTGAGGTACTCTGGAGATAAGTGAAGAAACAGAATTAGGCCTGTGAAGACAATATGGTCACTGAAAGGTAGAGTGAGGCCACTCTAGAGATAAATGAGGTCACTTGAGGTAAAGTGAGGTCACTATGGAGACAGTGAGGTCACTATGGAGAACAGTGAGATCACGTGGAGGCAGTGAGGTCACTGTGGAAGCAGTGAGGTAAACTGTGGAGGCAGTGAGGTTACTGGTGTCAGAAAGAGACCATTTAGACAAAAAAAAAATTTCACTGAGGCAAAACTGAATTTGCTATGGCAATTATTGTATTCAAAAACAAGCGCTAAACCCATATGGCTTATATACTCCCAAAAACGATAGAGAAGAAGGCAGGTGAAGGAACAGGTAAATAACAGGAAAATATTAAGTGGTACGACTCCTGAGTTTCATCTAAGAAATAAAGAACTTGAGAATTAGATCATGGAACACAAAAAGTAGCTAGTATCAGGGTGAATAATGAATAATGAAATTTCTGAGAGGCCAAGTGGTCTCTGAGAAGTCAAGTTGCCCACAAAAGAGGTCAAGTGCTCACAGAGAGGTCAGTGCTCACAGAGAAGCCAAATGGTCACAGAGAGGTCAAGTGCTCACAGAGAAGCCAAATGGCACAGAGAGGTCAAGCTGTAAATGAGAGGTCAAATGGGAATTAAGAGTGTACCACAGTAGGTCTTCCCCAACTGTATCACACACCCCCCACTAGAGAGGGTTACTGACCTGGGCCTAGTTTTCTAAAGCTTCCCCACCAGATGTCAGGCACTGAGGTAGACCCACGCTGTTTAACATCTCTCTCACTTGCGCTCACCTGACCTACCATCAAGACCTATTCCCTTGACTGGTTTCCCCAGCTACCCTCTAACTGCGTCTGCTGTGTACCCTTAATTTAAATAAATCCAGAAAATACTCAATAGCACTTGTTTTTCAGCCTATAAGCTACCCTGCTATTACTGCTACACTACGAAAGGCAATTAATTATAACAGTATTGAGAGAAGTGGATATTACATTTGTGATTTTTCTCTCCCACTGATTATCTTTCATAATATTTTTGTGTTACTCTGCCCTTCTGCAAGTGAATAATTTTGCATTTCAAATTGCAATTGCCACACCTCAACATTTGCTTTGTGCTAAGTTTGCAAAAGATAATTCACAACAATTTTGTCACTAGATTCTATTTCTTTGGACATACAATTTTGTTTTGTGAACTTTTTTCATATTGTTACTGTAATATTTCGCAATTGCTATTGTTGTAGCAATGTTATACATTTTCTGTGAAATCACCTGCATTAATCAGTGAAATTTTCTGTTGTGAACCCACTTGCATAAACTTATTTTAACAACGGTTTCCATAGTACATCATTATATTGGTTAACGTGTTCTTAAAATTCTTACATCGTACCAACAAGAGTGCCAATTACCATCATGTTATGTTGTTCTCTTTGACTCTGTGCCAAGTTTAGGGTTAACTGTGTACCATTTTCAGCTTTCTTAATATTTTTTCTTACCTTTTCTGATTTCTTATTCTTCGCACGACTCTGAGCCATGACTAACACATGTAGTGGTCGCAATACTTCGTTAGCTCTGACTGGCACGACCAGTAATCCTTCACAGGATTTGTCCAATAGTACTTGAAGTGGAAAATGTTCTACGGAGAGCCAAATAGCAGCCCTCATAGCAACCAACTGCATGTGCTTCAAACGGTCGTTCTTGCCCATCCCTCATCTTCGTTGGTGGCTCTGACATGTTAGAGATGGGGCTAATTTCTGTTGAAACTGCAAAAGGGGGTAAATATGATAACCCTTCAAAAAACCAATAAAAAACTTTTTGATATTGCCGCATTAGATCAAGAAAGAGGTACTGTCAGTGCTTTTGTTCGTCTCAACCCGATTTAGCAAGCTTGAGACAGGGCCGGGCCCTCATAGGGGGGAGTTCCATTTGTTTACTTCCCATCGGGGGAAGAAAACCACAAACTTTGATATTTTCACTATTGTTTGGGGAAAAAAGAAAAAGTTTTTGAATAAAAAAACTCACCTGCACCCCTGTAAACAAAAATGCCCACAGGAAAAATTTAAACTTCAGTGCTGTCCTGATGCCCCCAAGCCCCCACCCCAGTACAAAGCAGAATGGGACGCCTTTTCTCCTCCCAAAAAGGGAAAACATTGGGAGATTTTTTTAAGGATTGCAAAAAATTATTTTTTATTTGTTTTGGGGTGAAAGGAACCAATTACCAAGTTCCAAGGGGGGAAATTTAAAAAATTTTCTTTCTTGTACACCAGGGCTGGGGGGGTTTTTTCGGGACGCCCCAAACATGCGTGGCCGAGGTCTTCCCACCTTTTTTTGGGAAAAACACCCTCACTAAACCCCTCAAGGGGGGTTTTCAATAATGCTGGTGGGGGGTTTTCTTGATCTAGGGATTTGGATCTTTGTTTCCATTTTCCCTTTAAATTAACCTGAATAATTCTTTATTGCTGTTCTTACTGTTGAAACAGGGGTTTTTAGTGCCGATGAAGGTAGCGTAGGTAGAAAAGGAAAAAGGGCCGTGGACTAGATGGGTTTTTAAATCGGGTGGGAGGGGAGTACAAAACGGCAGTGTGGGGAAAGTGCCGGCAACCAGTCCGTGGGGGGGGATACCTGTGTACCCAAGTGGGTTCAAAAAGCGGGATTTAGAGAGGGGGGGACTGTGTGTCCCCCCCCCCCCTAGGTAGGCCTACAGAGGGAAAGAAACTAAATGCCGCGAAAAAAATGAACTCCCCAAGCAGCCCGGCTAGGCGTGTGCTCCCCCTCCCAAGGCTGCCCCTACATTTGCACCGGCCACGCACCTCGCGCGTCCCACGCGAAAAAATACGGGGGGCCCCCATAGTAAAAAAGGAATTACCCCACTCCCCCAAGAGGGACGGCTTTGGGCTCACTAAAAAAAAAAAATGGAAAAAAAAAATGCAACAGGAAAAAAAAAAAAACTCCCCCCCATCCAGGGGAAAAAGAAAACGGGTTTTCCCCCACGCGCTGTTTCATCCGAGTAGAGGGGCCTGGGAAAACCGTCAGCACTGGAACTAAAACCTTCTATATACGGGTTGCCCGCAGGCGAACACCCATTGACCCCCCTTCGTCTACTAACTTTGGTTGCACCCTCACATCTGCAAACAATGACGGACAGAAAGCATTTCCAAAGGGTGTAAACATGTAACTCAGAGGGCAGAAACTGCCCTGACCGTAATAAGGTTTTTTTCCTTTTTAGTTAAAAAAAAAAAACGGTGCACATACATACAATAATACTATACCCCAGGGAAATTTCATTACACTCTGGGTACCCTTCCCAAAAAGGGTATTTCCCATAATTACAGGGATGTTGTCCACCCTGATTTTCTATTTATCGACTAGCTATACAATGTGTGTGCTTTTTTTCCCCTTTTTTTGAAAGAAAAACAATTAGCAAAACCCTAGGCGTAGGAGTCGGACAAGCCCCGTAGGTACGTAAAAAGGGCCCCACAGAAATGACAGTTGTCCGGGGTCCGGGCCAAATTATGGAGCCTTACGGGCCTTTTTTTCCCGGGTACCACAGAAAGGGGGAGAAGGGGTAAAAAGGGTTTTTGCCCCAACATTAGTCTGATCGGGGGCGTTCCCAAACGCACAGCCCCCCCCGCTCAAACTTCGGCCTGCATATGGTCCACAACTTCATGTAATAAAGGTGGGTTTCCCCTTGATACTCCCGACAACCTCCCCTCCCTCGAATTTAATTTGCCCCCGGAGTTTGTCGTAGGACACGGAAGGGAAACCCACAAATTTTTGGGACAAGTTTTTTTGCATCCCGGGGGCTGCACGGGGTTGAGAAAACATAACTTTGAAACCCTGGTTCCACTTTGTTTTCCTTGGCGCGGGCTTTGGGCGCCTGACTTGGAAACCTACCATAGCTTTCAAAAGGGTTTCTCTGGGACCCCGCTGGAAGAAAAAGGGCTGGGGTTTGTCCTCATCTTTACTACACGGGGGGTTATCAAATCGTAAGTGGGTCTAGGGGGGTAAAAAAATTTTCATATGGAAAAGCGCTTGTCTAGCCATAAAAGCAAAATAAAGGTGTCTCACCGATCGGAGCTGTTAAAGGGGGGAATTTAATGTACACTGAACATCGGGGAAGCCTCACCCCCATGAAATTACAATTTTGGTTAAAGGGGGTTTTTACTCTAAAGCCCCCTCCAGGACTTTGCATTTTTTTTACGTTCACAAGACCATTACTCGCAGGGTGGCGTGGAGCTACTGGCGTTTGATAATTTGAAACCCAACCAAAAAAACCCATTATGCCCTTTTAAAATAAAACCCTCAGACCCTTTGTCTAAACAAAAGGGACCGGGGGCAAGTATGACGAAGAAAAACATGCTCACGGAAAACACTATCGACCTTTTCAGCTTTTTTAATCGGGAATGGGTACTAATTCACTTTTCCCCCGCGTCGGGTTAAATCTACTTTAAACAAGCAGGTGTTTATTTCCCTTTCTCCGGGGCCCGAAAAATTCGTCAACAAGGTCGACAGAATTTCTTTTCCCCGGGGCCCCTTTTGGGAATGGGAAAACTTTAAAAGGGGGGTTTGGCCCTTAAGGGTCCCCTTTTGTGCGGTGGGCAGACAACACTTGGTGTACATGCTTGGCAATGTCCAGGGCCATCCTTAGGCCAAAAAATATTTCATTCGGCCGTTTGATACTGCGGCCTTCCCGGGGGGGGCGCTAAAACCTGGGCATTGTGGTTTAAAACCTAAGAGAAAGCGGATCATGGATTTCGGGAAACACCTTTTGGTATACGGTTTTTCTGCCGGGGCCACCACTGGGGAAACACGGCACGTACCCCTTGGTTGACCACTAAAATCCTTCAGGGGAACGGGAACTTGCCCTGTAAGCCCAACGTCCCCCCCTTGAAAGGGGAAACGAAGGACGGGAGACCCAAACCGGGCCCTTTGTCGTTGGGCTCCTCTCGAGATCCTCAACAGAGAACAAATTTGGGGCCGACACTCACAAATTTCTATATTTTCCCTCGACAGGGCGTCACCCTAAAAACTTTTTGTTTTACCTGGGACATAGCAAATTTCAGGGTTTTTCATTAACGTGAGCAAACCCACCGGGGCCTTTGTTTTTCCCGAGGGGTTCCTTATTTGCAAAAAGGCCAAAAAAGGGTAAAAAATCGTATAAATCTTGATGGGGAAAAGATAGATATATACCCCGAAAATGACTCAGGGCCCATACAATGGCTAAACCCTTCTAGCTCTTTTCACTGAAAAATTGATTTTCCCGCTTTAGTAAAAAACAAGGGGCTAGCATGGCAATACCCTGTTGTTTTTCCCTTTAAGATTCTTGTGAAAAGGGGAACGAAACCAAAAAAATGCCAACTTTGCGGGCTTTAAGTCTCAAGGTAAATCCTTGGTAAAAACGGGAATTTAAGGGGTTTGGGGGCTGATGTTAACTTTTCTTAAAAAAGAAAAAAGCTCTTTCCCCTGATCGCACTCCACTCAAAAGGGGCACCCTTTTCTTGAGAAAAGGGGTTTTCGGGGGGGTGCAGCAATGGTGAGAAACCTGCGATAAAGGTTGGGGGTAGAAACCCGCCGGGCCCTATGAAGGACCGGACGGGCACCCGGGCCGCCCAGGGGGTCTGGGGAAATTTTCTGCAGGGCCGAGTTTTTGACTCGTCCGTTTTTTATCCTTTCCGATTACAAACTGACCCAAAAAATTTTTATTTCCTTCCGGGGGAAAAATGCTTTTGGGAGAGTTTTTACCTTAAGTTTTGGGGGCCTGAGCAAACCTGTCCAATACCCTGTCAAGTTTTTTCCAAGATGGAGGGGAAAAATTTTGGGGAAAATGACAAAGGAAATAAACCCAGGTAGACCAGGAGCGTCCCCCCCTAGGGGGGGAAGGGAAAAAATTGTCTCATCAAACGCCCAAAGTGTTGGGGCTTCCCCCAAAAGGCCAAGGGGAAACCCTTTCCCTGAACGGGTAATGACCATTTTGTAGTAGAAAAGCTGCCCAACTCTCTACTCTCATCATCGAGGGGGATCTGCCAAACCCTTAAAAAAAAAATCAAGATTTGAAAAGACCTTATTATCCCCGATGTTCTGCAACGGTCGTTCAAAACGGGCAAGGGGAAAACGGTCGGGGAAATGGCACATGCATTCATTTTCCGTAATCGATAACAGGGCCCGGGTTCCCGTCTTTTTTTTGGGGAAACCAAAAAGGGGAGCTTCCACGGGGAAAGTGGACCCTCAAAAAACTCCATCAGGGAGCATCCTTTTTAATGAGTTCTTCGGGGAAGACTCTTTGCTCCATGTGGCAGGCGAAAACGCGGGTAAAAAATAAATGGGTTTATCCCTTTGTCAAGTGGAATAGGGGAAAAAGATCAGTGGGGGTTCCAACCCATTGACCCCACCATCTAGTGAAAACGGGCAGAACGTGCACGTTTGAAAACCTGGAAAAATTTTTTTGGAACCTCTTCGGGATAGTCTGCAAAGCTAAAACACCCTTCCTCACTGGCCGGGTTTTTGGAAATCGGGCAGCAGACTCGCCTGGGAGAACTGAAACTCACAAGGAATCAGCTGGGGTTTTCACCCTCCACTCCACCGGAAGGGAATCTGACAAGGTGGGACAAGTGAGGTATTCTTTCCCGCAGGGGAAATTCTCGACTATGCATGTTGACAAAAAGGACTTGCAACTTACCCCGTTGCACTGTTGCAAGGAGGGTTTTCAAGGGGAGGCCCTTGACTCGGCATGTTCGTTGTAAAACCAGCCATGGTCCCCCCTTTC